CATGGTGTGAACGTATGAGATGTGTACATTGTGTGAATGTATGAGATGTGTACATTGTGTGAATGTATGAGATGTGTACATGGTGTGAATGTATGACTTGTGTACAGGTTGTGAATGTATGAGATGTGTATATAGTTTGAATGTATGAGATGTGTACATGGTGTGAATGTATGAGATGTGTACATGTTGTGAATGTATGAGATGTGTACATGGTATGAATGTATGAGATGTGCATTGTGTGAATGTATGAGATGTGTATATAGTTTGAATGTATGAGATGTGTACATTGTGTGAATGTATGAGATGTGTACATGTTGTGAATGTATGAGATGTGTACATGTTGTGAATGTATGAGATGTGTACATGGTGTGAATGTATGAGATGTGTACATGTTGTGAATGTATGAGATGTGTACATGGTGTGAATGTATGAGATGTGTACATGGTGTGAATGTATGAGATGTGTACATGGTGTGAATGTATGAGTTGTGTACATGGTGTGAATGTATGAGATGTGTACATGGTGTGAATGTATGAGTTGTGTACATGATTTGAATGTATGAGATGTGTACATGCCAGGACATTTGAAAGAATGAGATGTGTACACGACAGAAAATGTAAATGTATGAAATGTGTACATGCCACCATATGTGCATGTGTAAGATATGTACAAGTCAGTACGTGTGAATGAATCACAATGCAAGAGGACTAACAAGCACCATTTGAATGAACGTGTTGTATATGTGAACCTTGTTTTACTTACATCTGTTGGCCACCTGAACAATTTGAAACATCTTTTAAACCAAGGCACTCAACGACCTTCTACTTCGTATTGGCTGGGGAAATTATATTTAGGAATTTGATTATGGCAAATTGAGTCGCAAAAACTAGCCAAAATAATGGTTACGCTACCCTTCAATTATACCCACACACAGTATCTCACAATCTGTTATACAATCGTCGTGTGAGATCCTAGTAGACTACGGTGATAACTAAAAATGTATACGTTTGTTTATAATCCTATAAAGTTTCTAGCCGTTGATCTATTTTCGTACACTGAAAAAGCTCACATTAAAAAAAAATTAAACCCAATGCATGAGTCCGTTGAATATCTTCACTACAAACTCCACAAATTATACATCCTGTTGATGTAGGCGTTTTGCTGAATGTTTTACACGTGTTAGGAAGGCTAAAAGGTGAAGGACCTTCAGATATTTTACTATTCAGGGCATTCTCAGATTTAACGTCATATTTCTTATCTTTATACCCAAGCCTACACGACGCTCATGCATTTATAAAATCTTGGTTAAATTCCAGATCACTATTTGCATATTTGACCCCCTTCCATAAGACACAGTCAATCGCATTTCTCTGGATGTGCCCCTGGCTTCAACTTAAACAAAGGCCCAGAACTCAGGAAATGATCCTATACTTCAACGTGGGACAAGTAACATATTTTTTTGTGTGCAAGATAATATTTTTTTTACCAGCTTAAAGAGTGCTATATTTGAAAGCAGATAAACAGTGTAAATAATTTATTTTTATGAAGTAAATTCCTTTTTTTTTAAACTATGCAATTTATTTTCAACATAAGAGTTTTGCTACACTTTGTTGAACTTGGACGTATTTTGAAGCAAATCATAAGCACATATAAATGCTCAATAAATCCTCACTTGTGCCAAGGGAGGCAAGCGTGTACGGTACATCAATGAACGATAACTCTAAGTTTCGCGAGATGTTTATTGTTGTAGAGCCGCAGGGTGCAACGTTGCCACGACGGTTATTCGTTAACAGTGCAGATAGGGAGATATCAGATGGGGAGATATAGCGACTCTTTGTATGGTATCATCTTGGTAGATATGGTAGATATGGTTTTGTAATGGTGCCATCTCATTGGGTATGGCTTTAGCACAGTACTTTCTTGTGTGTATGGTTTTTGTGCCTACCATCTTGTGGGAATGTTTTTTTGTATGGTACCATCAAATTGAGTATGTTTTTTGTATAGTACCGTTTTGTGGGTATGGTATTTGTATGGTACCATCTAATTGAGTATGGTTTTTTGTGTATGGTACCATATTGTGTGTATATGTTTTATGGTACCATCTGTATGGTGATACAACTTCACATTGTCGGGATATTTTTATGATGGCTCTAGTTTGGTAAGTATATTAAGTAGTTGTAATACCTTAACGGCTAACATCAAAGTCTCAAATTCGGCTCGAGTCTGTGGGACGTGCCTGAGTCGACCCAGCTTTGATGGGTACCTGCCTCTCCTTAGGGAAATTGAGGCGTCTGGGCATAGCGCTGACCACATCCCCCCTTCCCCCTTTTGTGCGATGCTACTAAAACTGATGAACTCTACTTCTTCCACCGCACGTGTCCAAGTTACGAACAGGTAAGATAGTATGCTTGAAAACTAACACGTCTGTAAATTACCTTGTGACATATATGCTAACACATTTATAGCAAGTATACTTCTATTTTATGTGTGTTTCGTCCGCCATTAATATTTGCTTACACAAATGAACTTTGATTTATATATAGGCTACACCTGTAAAATTAGCCACTACAAATGTAGGCCCTAACATTACCTAAGCCCTATATTGGCATTTGAAATAGCATTAGCAATGTTCTATGCGATACAATAAATTACTTAACAATAGCAATGCCCTGTTTGAATTATTGATGTACCATTATCACTTCTTTAATAACACAACAGCAGTATTGCCCATTTACAACCACTGACGCTGCCCTTGCCCCTTCCTATTTACACAAAATATGCCCATCACTCTGTTGTGCCTACAACTCCCGTAGATTCACCAGACCCAAGTAAAGCTTGAAATCCTTGAAACAACTTTTTAATTATTCCCAACCCGCCTCTAGTACACACAGCGTCCCTCCGCGATGATGAAATACCTTATCTGGGCGGATGAGATAACACCTAACCTAATTTTGTGCCAGTGGTCTGGGTAATTTACAGGTAAACTTTTAGATTAGCAAGGTGTTGGTTTGTGCACAAGTGAATAATTTATTTTAAAGTGCGGAATCATCGTATATTTGTCTGAGGAGAAAATATATCCAGGTTATTTTATACATTGCTTTTACCTTTTATCGTTCCTTTGATTTCCTTGTGAACATTGCACCTTTGTTTTTTAGCATCATCCAACATGCTGTATCGTACACATACATGATTATTTGTAATGGTGAAAATCTTTTGAATTATACCATAATTCCGGATCGGACTGGTTTTTCCAAGTGGCCCGGGGAAATAAATAAAATAAAATAAATAAATAAAAGCGGCCCCATCCCGTCTTAAATTTTTCAAAGTTTATTTTGTTTATCATCACGTACTGAGAATTGATTCCTACAAAGTCAGGGGCTACTTTACAGTTCTAATATACAATGATAACAAAACAACAAATCAGAAGTGTTAACTAAGTCAATAAACATTTTTTTAATCAAAGCATTGATAGGCCCATAACAGCCGCGATCATCGCGATTCAATGGGAATTTTTCTGTTGACCCAACCACCAACAACATACTTTCAACACAAAAACATCAAATAATTAACTGATCTTGGAAAACAGTACAAATTCAAAATCTTTAGACCTAGCGATTCATTGGGCGGATGAAATAGGGTTAACACGTTTCTTGACCTCGCATATGAAGGGATAATGTGGTCAGCACTAAGCCCAGCCGCCTTTGCTTTACCTAACGTGAGTTAGGTACTCATTAGAGCTGGTTGGACTCAGGGACGGTCTATTGACTTGAACCCGGATTCAAATTCAAGCCTTTCGGTTTAGCAGTCTAGCCCCTACCGCTAGGCCACACCGTCCCGTAACATAGTTATAGATAAAATTCCCGAGTTATAGATACAAATCAACGAAAACAAGTGATCTTACCAGTGATTGTCCGACCACTAAATGGATGCTATTTGCAATCAGTTATTGTAATGTCATGTTCTACGCTTTAGGCCGGGCTTATTGGTATAAAGATCGTACATAGATAACGTCTTGCCCGTGTGGTTGTAGGAGTTAACTGGGCCATTTGTAATGAGAGGACGACGGAGTTTTTTGCATTTTTGTTTTTAGGGGACAAATAAGATGAAAGGCGTGCAAATTTTCTTTACAGTCTATGTTTGTGTTGGTTTTTGGGGGAAGTTCGTGCGTGTGTGTGTGTGGGTGTGTGTGTGTGTGGAGAGAGAGAAGGGGGGTGGGGGATGAATTTGATTTGTGTGACCAACTTTAAAAGGTGGAGTCTGGCCTTTTTTATGGTGATTTATGGATTTATGGCTTTAGGGGGAGCTGTGGATACAAATCGGCTTAGAAAGTATGACGTCACTAATAGGGTAAGGAACAGGCGCGGTCTAACCTTAGAAAGTTAGTGGCCTATAAGTAAGTTAGACCTCGAGTAAAATACTTTGTTGCTAGTACTGGACTCAAAACGAAATCTTTCTTTGATATTACAACCTGTAGGCTATTTGCTAACTTGACATACACGAAAGGGGTTCTGCCACCGAATCATAATTTACGTTGTTTTCTCAATATGATTGTAAGATTACTCATGTAATATTACTCATGTAATATTACTCATGCAATTACTGATTTGACCTAGCCACTCCCAATGAAACCCAAGGACTCAAGTCCCTTGATGGCGTTGACCTAGATTCGAGGGGGTCAGAGGTTAAACCTGTTGTTGTGTCAAATAAGGTCACCTCACTGCATGTACTAATTTTATGCAATGGTTATATAAAATTAGCATTTTGAAAAACACATTTTTATCTCAGAAAGATGTAATTCTCACACATTTGTTAAATAACCCCAAGACGTATCTAAATTAACAGGAAGAAATAATTAATAATCTTAATTAATGGGTACACAAGTGAGTTTGTTTTGAAGTCAACACTCGCGTAGGTAAAATGTAATCCATCCTGTTTTGTTAATTACAGTATTTACAGTCTTTCCACTTTCTCGTATCCTGTTTTCAAACGCGGAACTGAAGCGTAGGGCTATGACTTAGCATTTATGAAGACGGTCTGTTCAATTCTCGTCGTGTTATGATTGTGTTTTTGTCCTTAGAGAAACACACTGTCAGTGTGTAGCAGACTGGTATAGCTGGTGAATAATACAGGCATCTACGTAAAGGTAGGCGTAAAGGATTTTTTTACTTAAGTTAAATGTATTTCAAGATTTTAATAAAGTTTGATAAATACTGGTAGGTATATAATATACATATCATATTTTGCTTGAATGGTATCATCGCTATAGCAACTTAACATAAATTCCAATCTTCGCACTGAATCCAATCATTAAAGATTGTGGTGTATGATTCATTTATACTTGTAGCCTTTATGTTGTTCACGTTTAGGCCCAAATTTTAAAACTAAAATTTAACGATATGGACCTACCATCGGCTCTTGTAATCGACCAGCTATAAATGTCTCAAATAAAAAGAGTTTAACAGTAAACGAAGACGACTTTTGCACATGCTTTATGCATGTACATTTTTTCACATTACGGGTTGGGGATGGGATACACCATTTCCCCCAACCCCATTTTCAAAACTATCTCGCGTGGGCCGTAATGGCTCTCGTCCATGGCCTTGACCTCCTTATATCTAATCGAACGATGAAGTCACGGGTAGCTTATTATTAGCACGAGGATCAGTAATTGATATTGATTCGGTTAGAAGGGAGTGAAATAAATCGTGGGACGAGTTACTCTAAGATAAAGTTCTGTTAGCCATTCTATCATCCGCGTAGTAATAAAAATATTGACACTTTAATCAACATCCAACACCTACCCTTGCTTTAACCATAACCATCGACATAACACTAACCCTAAACCCTAACACTAACCCTAACCACTAACCCTAACTTCAACAATAACACATACCCTTGCCATAAACAAAACACTAACCAAACACCAACACTAACCCAACACCAACACTAACCCTAAGTTCCACAACAACAACACACGCTTTTAAACCATCTACAGTCACTAAAGACACTATTGTAAACAAAGGCACACAGTGGTTAAGATAGCAGTGTAAGACTTAAGTTAAGAGGATAGTGAACGACCACACTAAAGATCAAGTGGCGGGGAGGGGGGAGAGGTTGGGCCGGAAATAAACAAAATACATCCGCAAAAAGAAAACAAATTCGTTTTTATTTTAAATTAAAATGAATCAGCACATTTATTTTTGTAACATAACGGTTTATATAACCAATTCCCCGGGTCTTGATCTACGCCGTAGGCCTAATATATCCGGCTGGAAATATAAGGATAGTATAGGTATATATATATATATATATATATATATATATATATATATATATATATATATATATATATATATATATATATATTGCCAAAGAAACCATATTTGACACGTAATTATCATAATCAACCTTGACTATTGTTGTGACCAAACAACACATGCCGCTTATATCATTCCAAAGTTTTCTAATTAGAAAGAACACAATAGCACACACTATTCTAGATATTAACCTGTCCATATCAACACACACACGTTATTTTACATGCTACCACACAAGAATAAATATATGGCTACGCCTTTACCAAGATAGCGTACATAAACGTTGAGTACTGCATGGTTGTATGTGTTAAACGTTAACCCGTTACTCACCCGACCTACAATACTATAACTATAACAGGATGCTGTTATTTAAAGCTGAGTACAACATAGTTGAACATTTTAAAAATAGACCCTTGCACGTCAGATCATACATACGACTACGCCTCTAACAGGATGTTCTACATGAAAGTTGAGTACAAAATAGTAGTACATTTTAAACAACACAACCCCCTCCCCCCTAACTTGCACGTCAGACCAAACATACGACTACGCCTCTGACAAGAGGAGGTGACGTATCATATCCGGCAGATGAGTCGTGAGTGCAAGACAGTCGTCTGTAAACTCAACACAGTCTTTTCGTCTGTAAACTGTCGTCTGTAAACTCAACACAGTCTTGTCGTCTGTAAACTGTCGCCTGTAAACTCAACACAGTCTTGTCGTCTGTAAACTCAACACAGTCTTGTCTGTAAACTGTCGTCTGTAAACTGTCGTCTGTAAACTGTCGTCTGTAAACTGTCGTCTGTAAACTAAACAGTCTTGAAATACACGATAACTTAATGTCTGCCCTGCTATTTATTAAACCTCTATTGTAGCCTACATCGTATTTATAATGTGTTGACGTCACTTGTTTTTTAACGCAAATTTTAAATATAAATTGTGCAATCCTCTTGATTTAGGTATATTAACATATAATAACTTAATTGACAACAATTATTTAACACATTGCTTGAACTAATTATCTTTGACATTATCGATCTTACTTTGTTTTTGTTTTTATTATTTTATTATTTTATTTTGATTTATCAATCGATGTTTATAATTAATTTTGCAATTACAGTAACACCCCATCTTGTTTTACATCCAACCCCCCGAGTCTAATCCCACCAACATCATGATATGACCCCTACACTATACAGACCCCTACACCATAAAGACCCCTATATCACCAGGATATGACCCCTACACCATAAAGACCCCTACACCATAAGGACCCCTATATCACCAGGATATGACCCCTACACCATAAAGAGCCCTACACCATAAAGACCCCTACATCACCAGGATATGACCCCTACACCATAAAGACCCCTACACCATAAAGACCCCTACATCACCAGGATATGACCCCTACACCATAAAGACCCCTACACCATAAAGACCCCTACATCACCAGGATATGACCCCTACACCATAAAGACCCCTACACCATAAAGACCCCTACATCACCAGGATATGACCCCTACACCATAAAGACCCCTACACCATTAAGACCCCTACATCACCAGGATATGACCCCTACACCATAAAGACCCCTACACCATTAAGACCCCTACACCATAAAGACCCCTACACCATAAAGACCCCTACATCACCAGGATATGACCCCTACACCATAAAGACCCCTACACCATAAAGACCCCTATATCACCAGGATATAAACCTTACACAAGCACGATAAGACCCTTTACATCAAACAGATAAAACCCCTCCCCAAACACGAACTTATACTCACTCACTCCCTCTTCCCCTCTTTTCCCACACAGAGCCGCTGCACGAGAAGTTAAGCATCCCAGTCAGCAATCGGATAATTATCAACACCGTTTGATTACCTCCCATCTGTGTGTTGCATTTCATTACTTCCCCTGGGCGAGCTAACATGGAAGTTAGGCCTACACGACAACTCGTAATCACAGGGATCATTTTTGCCCTCAATTTTTACGGTAAGAGAATATTTTCATTTCTGTTTTTAAACTTTTATAAGGAGAATATTGTAAGCACGAATACGTTATCCTATGTACATATTTAGAATAACGTGGGTTTTTATTTTTTTAACTTAACCATATGAAGTATATATACAATATATTACATATAACTTTTAACATGTTTACAATATGTCCGTTTTGTGTGTCTATAACGCGTATGCGATGATGTGTTGATAGAATGGGAATAAAGCTGTTATTTATAGAGCTGTTATTTATTAACACGTTTACACGAAAGTCACATCGTCTAGGGATATCAGTCATCTCTAACCGTTTTCATAGCGTTATTTGACTTCTGCTTCACACGTTATGACACGTGAAATGTCCGTGTTTTTATGCACGAGTGAGTTTAAGCTAACTAATTATCATTAGATGAAAATAATCATTGCGTGGCACAGGTTATGTTTTCTTGTTGTTTAAAGAAAATATTGTGTGGTCTGGTTATGTTTTCTTGTTGTTTAAAGAAAATATTGTGTGGCCTGGTTATGTTTTCTTGTTGTTTAAAGAAAATAATGTGTGGCCTGGTTATGTTTTCTTGTTGTTTAAAAAAAATAATGTGTGGCCTGGTTATGTTTCCTTGTTGTTTAAAGAAAATATTGTGTGGCCTGGTTATGTTTTCTTGTTGTTTAAAGAAAATATTGTGTGGCCTGGTTATGTTTTCTTGTTGTTTAAAGAAAATATTGTGTGGCCTGGTTATGTTTTCTTGTTGTTTAAAGAAAATATTGTGTGGCCTGGTTATGTTTTCTTGTTGTTTAAAGAAAATATTGTGTGGCCTGGTTATGTTTTCTTGTTGTTTAAAGAAAATATTGTGTGGCCTGGTTATGTTTTCTTGTTGTTTAAAGAAAATATTGTGTGGCCTGGTTATGTTTTCTTGTTGTTTAAAGAAAATATTAAGTGCCCCCTAAAATGTGGGGTCTATACAGACCAGCGGACCGCCACTACACTGTAATATTCAGGGGTGGACTGGCCAGCCGGTCTACCGGGGTAAATCCCTGGGGGCACGGGCAAAAATCTCAGTGGGCTTCCAGGGACGATGCTGTAAAATTCCATAGAGTTGATTGCTCTCAAAACAATTTATTTCACCATCCCTTCAGGGTTTGAAGGAAAGAAAATACTAAATGAAAATTTCAATCGTGGGTTGTGGGGCACCTTTTAAAATTTCCAGGCCTTTAGACACAGCCAGCCAACCCATAGTGCTATTGAATCTCCATAACATTTATCATTTTCTAACTATAACTGACTTGAAATCTCTTTATATTCAACGTATAGTAAACACGGCAGGTTATTAAAAGTGTGTAAATTTATTAATTTGATCTACATGATGCAGCCTGTTTTGGTGTTCTGATTCTACTTCACTTAACAATGAAGATGTTTTAAACTTGACACTAGGCGTTGCTTGTTACTTACATTTTTTCCCCAGGCAACACATGTGATTTATCGATTACTTTGTTTTTATTTATGAAAGCTCATAACAATCGATATAGACGAGCCAGTTAAGAGAGACAGAGGAAACAAATAAGCTTATAATGCTACACTGGTTTTTAGTTGTATCTGGATTGTCATTGGTATGGCGAGACAAAACTTGCCGCGTGATGTGTTGATAATTCATTAACTTAATTAGATGTGTGACATTTCAATTTAGTCATGCTGTATTTCAATTCTTGCAGGTCTAGGCGTTACCATACATAACTTTATAAAAATTACTTTAAAAATACAAAGACCTAGAAAATAAGATAAAAACACACACATAAGAAAATATGAAATCCATCACTAAATAAAACCACCCACAAAATAAAACCACCCAAAAAAACGCCTTCTAAATAAAAACACACACACATCGATACAAGAAAAACACTCCTAAAATAAAAAGAACAAACCACAAAAAAAAAAAAAAAAAAAAAAAAAAAAAAAAACCCAATAAAAATAGACGCACGGAACACACGGACTAGTAGGTCGCAATTAATCACTGCGTGACACAAATCGTCCAACTGTGTTGTACCACTTGTTGTAAAACATGTGTAGGATTTCAGCACTTAGATCTTTTTGCCTATCGTCTCTGCTGAGCGTATTACAAAATTTTTTTTTCTTTTATGTTGATCTTCATTGTTGAATGCTTCATTGCACTGAGATCAGTTTGTCTAACTTCATTGTTGAATGCTTCATTGTACTGAGATCATTTTATCTACCTTCATTGTTTCAGTTTATCTAACTTCAATGTTAAATGCTTTATTGCACTGATATCAGTTTGTTTAACTTCATTGTTGAATGCTTCATTACACTGATATCAGTTTGTCTAACTTCATTGTTGAATGCCTGATTGCACTGATATCAGTTTGTCTAACTTTATTGTTGAATGCTTCATTGCACTGTGATCATTTAGTCTAACTTCATTGTTGAATGCTTCATTGCACTGATATCAGTTTGTCTAACTTCATTGTTGAATGCTTCATTGCACTGATATCAGTTTGTCTAACTTCATTGTTGAATGCTTCATTGCACTGATATCAGTTTGTCTAACTTCATTGTTGAATGCTTCATTGCACTGAGATCAGTTTGTCTAACTTCATTGTTGAATGCTTCATTGCACTGATATCAGTTTGTCTAACTTCATTGTTGAATGCTTCATTGCACTGATATAAGTTTGTCTAACTTCATTGTTGAATGCTTCATTGCACTGATATCAGTTTGTCTAACTTCATTGTTGAATGCTTCATTGCACTGAGATCAGTTTGTCTAACTTCATTGTTGAATGCTTCATTGCACTGATATCAGTTTGTCTAACTTCATTGTTGAATGCTTCATTGCACTGATATCAGTTTGTCTAACTTCATTGTTGAATGCTTCATTGCACTGATATCAGTTTGTCTAACTTCATTGTTGAATGCTTCATTGCACTGAGATCAGTTTGTCTAACTTCATTGTTGAATGCTTCATTGCACTGATATCAGTTTGTCTAACTTCATTGTTGAATGCTTCATTGCACTGATATCAGTTTGTCTAACTTCATTGTTGAATGCTTCATTGCACTGATATCAGTTTGTCTAACTTCATTGTTGAATGCTTCATTGCACTGATATCAGTTTGTCTAACTTCATTGTTGAATGCTTCATTGCACTGATATAAGTTTGTCTAACTTCATTGTTGAATGCTTCATTGCACTGATATCAGTTTGTCTAACTTCATTGTTGAATGCTTCATTGCACTGAGATCAGTTTGTCTAACTTCATTGTTGAATGCTTCATTGCACTGATATCAGTTTGTCTAACTTCATTGTTGAATGCTTCATTGCACTGATATCAGTTTGTCTAACTTCATTGTTGAATGCTTCATTGCACTGATATCAGTTTGTCTAACTTCATTGTTGAATGCTTCATTGCACTGAGATCCGTTTATCCTGCTCAATGCTTAAGTCTTTAAATTAATTAAAACATGCTCGAAGTACCACCTGCTACACAAGCATACATACAACAGTTAATTATAAATTCTAGTTCTGCAAATGCAGAAATTGTATTTAATATCATCTCAAGTTTCTCTCTGCTAATTAGATGAAGTCGTGTTTTTTTTTACCGTATCTTGTAACCCAGGCCAATCCAACCTTTCTGGTGCTACAATCTAATTTGTGTTTAAATATTTCAGCGATGTAGAGAAGAACATTGCGACATGGGATTGTTTGTGTTAAAATGTTTATAGACTTGTTTGAATAGCGAGTTGTGGGGAGGGGGGGGGGGGTCTGCTGGAACAATACAAAAAGTTTTGTTTTAGTAGAACACGTGACGGCCACCTGCATCTGCACCGTCACATGCAAATATTACGTGCAGATACTAGTGCACATACACATGCACCTACATACATTCACTTATGCACACCTAGACAACTACAGATAAACATACAACTACAGCTTCATCTACAACTTTATCCATAGCTACACTTACATCTGCGTTATAGCCCGCACCTGTTCATGCACATTTCCACCTGCAGATACACCTACAGCTAAACCTACATCGACAACTATCGACAACTTCCGACAACTACCTACACCTACACCTACACCTACACCTACACCTACACCTACACCTACACCTACACCTACACCTACACCTACACCTACACCTACACCTACACCTACACCTACACCTACACCTACACCTACACCTACACCTACACCTACACCTACACCTACACCTACACCTACACCTACACCTACACCTACACCTACACCTACACCTACACCTACACCTACACCTACACCTACACCTACACCTACACCTACACCTACACCTACACCTACACCTACACCTACACCTACACCTACACCTACACCTACACCTACACCTACACCTACACCTACACCTACACCTACACCTACACCTACACCTACACCTACACCTACACCTACACCTACACCTACACCTACACATACACATACACATACACATACACATACACATACACATACACATACACATACACATACACATACACATACACATACACATACACATACACATACACATACACATACACATACACATACACATACACATACACATACACATACACATACACATACACATACACATACACATACACATACACATACACATACACATACACATACACATACACATACACATACACATACACATACACATACACATACACATGCACCTGCACCTGCACCTGCACCTGCACCTGCACCTGCACCTGCACCTTGGTTTATCTGTTACGTTGGGATGGTCAACCAGTTTCTAGCACACACGTCTTACATTCCACTGAGAGTTATCACGGTGGGCAATTGTCTAGAATTACAAGAGATATATTTAGTGGGTTTTTTTACGGTCTACAACAAAATGAGGTAACATACATATACATTATATATATATATATATATATATATATATATATATATATATATATATATATATATATATATATATATATATATATATATATATATATATATATATATATATATTATTTTATTTTATTTTATTTTATTTTTTTTTTCATTCCCAACCTATATAGACCCAATTCTATCACACACGCATACACACAGAAGCACCTATACTCTCTCACACACACACACTAATCCTCATTAGCGCTGGTTAAATGACCATACATCACAACTCTAGACGTAAGTCTACGGCCCACAAGCCACTGTTCCCCCAGACACAGCTACATTTCCTGTCATTACCGAGGGTGATCCATCAATAATTAATTGGAGTGTTCAGTACAAGCTGTTTGTAATTTCATTTTTTTCTAATGGCTGGAAATTCCTAGGAAATCGGAAACATTTTTTCCCAATTGGTCTGTATTCTTCTCGGGGCAGTCAAAATGATTTGAGACATTTTTATAACCATACATAGATTTGACCTACTCTGATATGTTTTTTTTTAAATTAATAGATCAATTAAGAATCTGTTATAAAACAATGAGTCTAATTAAAGTTGTCAGAACCAATGACTTAATTATCTCTTAAAAACTCGTGACATTCGTATAATTTAATACCTAACGCCTCCACTAAAGTATGAAGCGAAAAGGAAAACTTGCTCGAATTTTAACCCTTGACTTAGTGTTTATATATAGGTTGTCATTCCCATAGTAAAATAACTAGTATCTCAAGATTTAACTAATTCTCATTTTATGAATCCAGTAGAAGTCTAAACCCTAATCCAACCTAACTAGAGAAGTTTCCCACATTGAAGCCTGGTTCTTCTAATTTTCTGTGCTTTAATATATACAGATGTTAAATTATTTCAGTCAATTTATAAGTCATACTCTTCATCTGATAATACATTTTTCGGTCAATTTTTAAAGTAATTTTGACCATGGTTGTAAGACTTCGCGAGATACCGTAGAAAGATTTCAACACTGTACACTACAGCACGCCGTCAGGTCTGCTAATTATCTTTCCAGATGTTTGGCTTCCCCCCTAATTAACTCCACGGTCATCAGTAAACACATCTTTTGCAAGGTCAAAGGTCGCGGTTAGACCAGACAGGAAGAAACAACCAGCGTTATTTCTAGCCCTAATACCTCAAGGCGCATGTCGGAATGTCGTGGTTAATCTGTCTGTTATTCACGATAGGGAATCGGGATAATCAGATATTAATTAAATAAGATTATATATAATCCGTAGGGATATGGCGGAGTTTTATGGCGTTATTGTGATATGTGGTAGTGCGGTGGAATAAAGCAATGTTGTTCTATAATAGAATTTAGTATCGCGACTGTTTTACAACTTAAACTCCAATTTTCATGGGTGGAATGACTTCTATGGTGAGACAACTTTTATGGTGACACAACTACAGTGAGACAACTTTTGTAGTGAGACAACGTCTATAGTGACACGACTTGTATATTGCGTACGTCCATCCATCAATATAATGACAACTCCAAAACCAAACAACTGCTGTCTTGTAGTTTGTTCTGGTCGGACAAAGGCTAAAGAAGAAAATACAAAAAAAAAAAGCAGGCTGAAATCGGAGTCAACGGCATATATGGTTCATAACAAGTTGACACGCAGTACTTAATAGTGATGTAGGAAATTCATTACAACACTAAAATTAAGAACTAAGAAGCAAGTCTTATACATATTCTTTAAAAAATAGCTTCCATATACAAATTCAAAATTTTAAATTATGACCAATTTGAAGTGCAAGTGGTATGCTGGATCAGTTACATAAAATGTGTCTTTCGTTCTCTTTCAATCATTAAACAATTTGCTACAAGATACGTAAAGCAGACATTCAGCATTTTACCACCACATTGCTGATTGTAAGCGATGCATTCGTTAGCACAAACATTCCCTAATTAGAACATGCCAAGCATAGTTTAAAACTGGGCTAGAAGGTGAGCGAGTCATTACAAGTAATAACAGTCCGCACGTGAAAACTCGCAACACACCCCAAACCTCCATAAAAGCTTTCGTGTCGGTTGATTTTGTTACCAACACACATGCCATTTTTGCAAATATTGGGATATTAAATTCTGATGTCCTGTTCAGCTGTAGCAGTGGCTACCACACGACCACCTCTATCCTAATTTACTTTTATTTATCCCTGCTGTAGCTAGTCTAGTAGCTACCACACGAACACATCTATCCTAATTTACTTCTTATTCCTATAGCTAGTCTAGTGGCTACCAGACGAACACCTCTATCCTAATTTACTTTTTTTCTCACTGTAGCTAGTCTAGTGGCTACCAGACGAACACCTCTATCCTAATTTACTTTTTTTCTCACTGTAGCTAGTCTAGTGGCTACCAGATGAACTCCTCTATCCTAATTTACTTTTATTTATCCCTGTTGTATCTAGTCTAGTGGCTACCACACGAACAACTCTATCCTAATTTACCTTTATTTCTCCCTTCAGCTAGTGGCTACCACACGAACACCTCTATCCTAATTTACTTTTATTTATCCCTGTAGCTAGCGGCTACCAGACGGGAGCCCCCATGAGCACATGTCTAACCAGATATCCCAAGCATGGAGCCAGTACTCAGCAGCAGCCAGTACCCTTCATAATTCAGCTCTCCCAGTCAACATACACAGCCGGCACTGAGCAGTTGATCAATGGTGACGTTTCTTTTGTAGCATTATGTATAATCTATCTAGCAGATCTTTATTTTTATTTTCGATATACCAAAGTATTATTTTCTGTGTGTTAATATGAAGTATTTTTTCTATGCAATATACCAAGCAAACTGTTCTGAAAGGCATTTTAAATAATTTTTATGTATAATTTACTCAGCAGTTTTTTCTGGATGATATGGATGATATTCTTAAAGTAATTTTTCAGTGTACTCTAGGCCCTTATAAAGTACATTTATCAGGAAAATATGTCCTATATAAGATTTCGTTTTTCTTGTCGATATACTCATACTCAAATAAACTGTTTATATTATAGTTTATTCAGACCATATATTTTTTTCTTCTAAGTTACCTAGTAGAGTCGACATTCTACAAAGCTTTATTCATTATACTTTAACAACGAGCTGGTTGTATTCAATGATTATACCCGTTTAACTCTTGGCCAAGTTCGTGTGAAGTATACAGTTTTTATGGTTGTATTCAACGATTATACCCTTGTTTAACCCTGGTCCAACTTTAGCGTGAAGTAGCATTCAGTTTTTAGCCTTCCTTCTCACGGCGTTAATTCTCCTCGTCCTGTCACATTACAGTGAGTGGTCCCAGGTTCGAATCCTTGCCACTCCATTTCTGAAATTGGATTTCGTGAACTCCGACAAAAACCATCTTGCTAAACCTGTTTTCTTGCGTGTATCTTGTAAATACAGCTCTATAATGGGCTTATCCGTCATCAGCTTGCCATAATGTCTAAATGGATTTGTTCTCAAATCTCTACATTTCCTTGTCAACCTCAGTTCATCAAAGTTTTTTTCCACCTTTGCTCTGAGGATTCATCAATATATTTAGCTATAGACAGTTTAATTACTCTTACATTGTCTGAGAGGAGTAACCTAAATTACAAATGTTCATATATCTAGCTTTTATGTCGTTGTTTTTTTGGGCGGGTGGGGGGGGGGGGGGGAGGTTGTGATTAGATATTATGAAGGGGGTGGGTGGTAATGGACATCGGGTAAGCCTTCGTGTCCATTTCTGGATCTGCCCATAGTGATACAAATATAAATAATTAAAATTACAATAATGCCACGATTTCTAAACTACACTATATATATATATATATATATATATATATATATATATATATATATATATATATATATATATATATATATATATATATATATATATTCATCTTTTCGTGCACAAGTGTCCCCCCCCCCCCTCTTACCAATCTACTTCCCCCCTCCCCATATTCTGATACACCAATACCTATAAATAAACCAACCAACGCCAAAATCTAACTCTCGGGTACCCTCCACAGTCACCGTACGCGGCACGGCTGGCCACGGGTTCAAAGGTCTGCAAATGGCCGCTTTCAAGGCCAGCAACGAGGAGGAGGCGGTGGGAACGTTCCAGACTTTTGATGCAACCAAATACCGAGCCTTCACGTGTCATGGGGGCTATAAGGTAGCACGCATGCTAGGTGTAGCAGTCTAAGGTAGCACGCATGCTAGGTGTAGCAGTCTAAGATAGCACGCATGCTAGGTGTAGCAGTCTAAGGTAGCACGCATGTTAGGTGTAGCAGTCTATATCTAATAACTTTTTTTTCCATTTGAAGTAGGCCTATCATTTATGGTTAAGCTGCTGTCCAAAAATAGACTACTTAAAATATATTTTTAAAAAAATTTACGCACCTATAACTCAGTTTGATTCACGTTTATATATAGGCCAACATGAATGGGGAGGGGGAGCACTTAATATCCTTTTGGGGGGGGGGGGGGGGAGAGGGGGCGGACACTGGTAAAAGTATGTTTTCTATATAAATTCCATTTCGTGTTTGGGGGGGGGGGGAGAGGGCGGTAGACTTTTTTCGGGGGGTGGGGGGCTCTGTCATGTTTAGCTTTACGGTTAGTAACTAAGGATAGGATTATGGTAGGCCGTGTGTTAGAGTTTAGGTTAGCATGGGCATAAACATGTCAAATTTCTAGCTAGTTAGCTAACAGAGATATCCGTTTTTAAAGAAGATTCTGTTATTGTAGCATCATCGGGCACAGGTGTACAACATACACCGATAGTAGTTTATTAGCATAATTTACGTTTTGTATGGTTTGTCTGTCCCAGGAAAGTGCGATAACCCACTTCAACAATTTTAGTTTTGAATGATTTGTCTCCCCTAGAACAGTATGATAACCCACATCAACAATTTAAGTTTTGAATAATTTGTCTCTCCTAGGACAGTATGATAACCCACATCAACAATTTAAGTTTTGAATGATTTGTCTCCCCTAGGACAGTAAGATAACCCACATCAACAATTTAAGTTTTGAATGATTTGTCTCCCCTAGAACAGTATGATAACCCACATCAACAATTTAAGTTTTGAATAATTTGTCTCTCCTAGGACAGTATGATAACCCACATCAAAAATTTAAGTTTTGAATGATTTGTCTCCCCTATAACAGTATGATAACCCACATCAACAATTTAAGTTTTGAATGATTTGTCTCCCCTAGGACAGTAAGATAACCCACATCAACAATTTAAGTTTTGAATGATTTGTCTGCCCTAGGACAGTATGATAACCCACATCAACAATTTAAGTTTTGAATGATTTGTCTCCCCTAGGACGATATGATAACCCACATCAACAATTTAAAATTTGAAACATTTGTCTCATTTAGGACAGTATGATAACCCACATCAACAATTTAAGTTTTGAAACATTTGTCTCATTTAGGACAGTAAGATAACCCACATCAACAATTTAAATTTTGAATGATTTGTCTCCCCTAGGACAGTATGATAACCCACATCAACAATTTAAGTTTTGAATGATTTGTCTCCCTAGGACAGTATGATAACCCACATCAACAATTTAAATTTTGAATGATTTGTCTCCCCTAGGACAGTATGAAAACCCACATCAACAATTTAAGTTTGAATGATTTGTCTCCCCTAGGACAGTATGATAACCCACATCAACAATTTAAGTTTTGAATGATTTGTCTCCCCTAGGTCAGTATGATAACCCACATCAACAATTTAAGTTTTGAATGATTTGTCTCCCCTAGGACAGTATGATAACCCACATCAACAATTTTAAGTTTTGAATGATTTGTCTCCCCTAGGACAGTATGATATCCCACATCAACAATTTAAGTTTTGAATGATTTGTCTCCCCTAGGACAGTATGATAACTCACATCAACAATTTAAGTTTTGAATGATTTGTCTCCCCTAGGACAGTATGATAACCCACATCAACAATTTAAGTTTTGAATGATTTGTCTCCCCTAGGACAGTATGATAACCCCACATCAACAATTTAAGTTTTGAATGATTTGTCTCCCCTAGGACAGTATGATAACCCACATCAACAATATTAAAGTTTTGAATGATTTGTCTCCCCTAGGACAGTATGATAACCCAAATCAACAATTTAAAGTTTTGAATGATTTGTCCCTAGGACAGTATGATAACCCACATCAACAATTTAAGTTTTGAATGATTTGTCTACCCTAGGACAGTATGATAACCCACATCAACAATTTAAGTTTTGAATGATTTGTCTCCCCTAGAACAGTATGATAACCCACATCAACAATTTAAGTTTTGAATGATTTGTCTCCCCTAGGACAGTCTGATAACCCACATCAGAAATTTAAGTTTTGAATGATTTGTCTCCCCTATGACAGTCTGATAACCCACATCAACAATTTAAGTTTTGAATGATTTGTCTCCCTAGGACAGTATGATAACCCACATCAACAATTTAAGTTTTGAATGATTTGTCTCCCCTAGGACAGTATGATAACCCACATCAACAATTTAAGTTTTGAATGATTTGTCTCCCCTAGGACAGTATGATAACCCACATCAACAATTTAAGTTTTGAATGATTTGTCTGCCCTAGGACAGTATGATAACCCACATCAACAATTTAAGTTTTGAATGATTTGTCTCCCCTAGAACAGTATGATAACCCACATCAACAATTTAAGTTTTGAATGATTTGTCTCCCCTAGGACAGTATGATAACCCACATCAACAATTTAAGTTTTGAATGATTTGTCTCCCCTAGGACAGTATGATAACCCACATCAACAATTTAAGTTTTGAATGATTTGTCTCCCCTAGGACAGTATGATAACCCACATCAACAATTTAAGTTTTGAATGATTTGTC